TGGAACCAGATATAGACATCAAAGCAGAAAGACCAAGATTTGAAGCCAATAATTGATTTTCTAAAAGCAAGCGTTTCGTTCCTTGCTTGGGAGAAGGTGGCTAGTTTAAGTCCTGTGACAAAGAACTATTGGGCACAATGGGACCAGTTGAAGCTTGAAGATGGTATTCTTCTCCGGAGATGGGAAACTACAGATGGGAAAGTGACGACCTGGCAAACGGTTATACCGAGAAAGTTACGGGAAGTTGTGCTGCGTCAATCCCATGATACTTTAACAGGATGAGTTATCGGAAAGGATGGATGATATTCACCATCAAGTGCGTTCAAACTTGAAAACATCTGCTGATTCGATGAAGTTATCTTATGATAAGAGATCTACTGAAGTCAGCTTGTACTAGGAGACAAGGTGTGGTTGTATAATCCCAGGAAGACCAAAGGGAAGTCTCCTAAGTTGTCATCTCCATGGGAAGGCCCATATGGCATAGTGGGTCGTCTCTCAGACGTGACTTTCCGAATAAAATGTGGTCGGCGAGGTAAGCTTTGGCGCTATCACTGTCCAGGACATTTCAGTTGGGACGAAGTGAACAATGGAACAAAAGACACTACTGAAGACGTGTCACCTGTAAAGGCCACTGTGGAAGAAAAAACTCTACTGGGTTTTGAGAAAGGACCAGTGAAGCCCTTCATGAAGTTACTACCTCTGGTGTGACTATTACCAATAATAGGACAATTCCTGATGGAGCAGATGAACCTCACGTGAAGCAAAAGCCAGTATGGAAGAAGATACATCCCGTAATATTAAGAGACTTTGTTGAATTTTAATTTTGTGTTTGTAAGTTATGTACATTTAATTAAGTTGTTGTTAATTATCTATTGATTTAACTTAAGTGGCTATTGTTCGGGACGAACAATACTAAGGAAGGGGCTGTGCTACGACAGCAGAAGTCACATGATACTGGTAACACGTAATGAGTTCTAGAAAGATCAGGGAACATCACGAATAATCCAGTATTTGCTAGGCGCCAGGCAATTAATCGGAATTAGAATTGTATAGCAGACAGAGAGATTGAATATATAGACGGACAATTGAGTCAAGTGCGTGAATCGTTCGTTCTAAATTATAGCGTGTGTTTAAGTTAAGGTGACTGTGGAAATTAAATGTATTGCAAAGTTGTATTGAGAAAGAATAAACTAGTTTTATTTAAGAAAGGACTTGTATCGTTGAAGTTTTTCGGAAAGAATTTTTACGAGTAATTAACAAACGACCAGAGACGTAACAATACATTAATTACGACACATTGATAATACTAATTAAACAGATATATCAAATGTAGCACAAGTTGTATAGTATGTAGCTTGAAGAATAATCAGTAGCACACTAAAAAATAAGTTTAATTTTAATTTTATCCTACACAATGTAAACAGGGTAGAGAACAAGGAATTACAATTATTAGGTATCATTGTATCTTCAGTTAGATGTAATGAGTATTAATGATATTTTTGTCCGTAATCTCATAGTATCTCACAAGGTTCGGCCTACCTACAGCTTTTTACTTAAGACCTAAATTAACGCACTCAGTGAAACATTACAAAATTCGTCTTTATAAAAGGCCAAAGAAATGAAGCAGTTTAAATATGCAAAACTCATAATGTTTCATTCATCTATCAAATTAACTGTAATAAGAAAGTATAAAGGTTATTACAAAACAAGTGAACACAAAAACTGTCAATTTTTATTCATGTGTATATATAGCGTATAAGAAGTGTGAGATGAAATACGGTGGTATCATTCTTTCTAATCTCTCCCATGACTGGCAACTGCTAGAGCCTCACACGATAGTCAGATAAATTATTCTTATTTGCATAAACACAAAATTTAACCAAACTTTAGATCAAAAATAAAGAAGTGACAGGAGTTTAGTTCATGATTTTGGAATCCAGTTGAAAAACACAAAATTTGATTATGAGAGAAAAGAAAGATGTATTAAATTCGTCAATGAAATGAAGCTATAAGGTTCTTTTGAAAGTTTGTTTATTTGAAATTAAGCACAAAGCTACACAATAGGCTATCTGTGCTCTGCCCACCACGGGTATCGAAACCCGGATTCTAGCGTTGTAAGTCCGCAGACATACCGCTGTGCCACTGGGGGACTCTTTTGAAAGAATATATAGGCCAGTTGGAGAACTTTTCAAACACAACCTTTCAGATTCGTGATGGAAGAATATCAAACGACACATTTTATTTCAACATTTGTTTATTTTTAACAGGGGTTTCATACAAAATTATTAAATACAGTTATTAATGAGTTTGTGCAAAAAAAAAAGTCAATTAAATGAATATTATACCTTCCTCGTGTGGAAATTTCTATAGATAAATAAGTTATATAAATGGTATTAGATTTTAATATGTGTGTAAAACGTAAAATAAATTTATAGTAACACTAACGAATTGTGTAAATTGATAAACAAATTTAGTCCTTTAGATTTATTTGTAAAACTTCAATATTTATAGTGTAGAACAACACATTATCTTTCAAAACTGCAACAAGTATATAAAAATACTAACCTGAAAATATCAATGTAAATGTAATATTTTATTTTTCGTATTCTCAGAATAAAATGTGCATTAACTACTTCATTGACATTATCGTCAAATAAAGCAGTAAATCTAAAGTTAATTTATGCTTTTTTCAACAAGTACAACTAAATGCATCGATGATATTTCTGTTGCATGCAGTGATGATTTTATTTTAAGGAAAAGGCATGATAAAGTCTTTATTTTGACGATGTTTCAGTAATTTTCATGTTGGAAGAATAAATATTTGAATATATTTAAACTTCGCGAAAAAAAAAAACAGTTCCAAGACGAGATTCATCATTGAAACTATATTTTTGACAAAGTGGTAAACAAACTATAGAAGTTACTTAAGTTTAATAAATAATGTTTCTTTAGGAACTCAACAAGTTTAGTTGTCTAAATGATCTAAGAAAGTGATATTCATTGGTAGAAAGTTTAGGAATCCGAATGGTATGTTGTGATAACCTTCTGGATGATGCTCTTTTTCCAGACGTTTGTTGTGATCAGTAAAGGTAAAGATATCTTCCGGTTCAGTGCCACAAACGCCCTCTGGATCCTGAGTCCTTTCAATCCCATCCGTCGTATCGCCATCTATGTTCTCGTCCATCCTTTATTTAGTTTTTTGGTCATCGTCACCATCCTCGTTAACTGTGTTCTCATGACCCTGCCCTCTAATGAAAAAATAGAACAGTCTGAGTAAGTAACAATAATTTTTTTCAGTAATTTTTTAAAAGCCGTTTTTTTTCTGAATATTTCAACTGTAACTGTGCCTCAAGTAATTATATTCATTATTCCTTTATGTCAGCTGTAGGAGCATTTAAAGTATAAATAATGTTTTCATAAAATACACCATGAAACTGTTTAGTTTGTTTTAACGTGACAAGAATAAAAAAAAAGATAACTTACTCTTAACATTTTTACAGCATAAGATATGATTTCAAGCTGTAATGTTAGGTTTTAGTAAATTTATCATTCATTGGATATTTTAAGGCATCAAGTTTCTCGTAGATTTTTTATTATTATTATTTGGTTGAGAGGTCAGTCTGATTCAACGTTTTGTTTAGTAATATAACGTTTCCAGAAAGAAAATAATATTACATCTTATCCTTTAGAGTCATCTTCACCTCAATCTACACCGTTGAATCCGTTGTAAAAGTGACTGCTCGCGGTTTTATACTTGAACGATTTACATATCTTCGAGATCCCTGGAACTGGTTGGATTTCATCGTGATAACTTTAGCGTAAGTGAATGAATTACGTGATTTCTAATTTTCTCACAGATCTTTAGAAATGTCATTTCCTTGTATGATTTTAATTCTTATTTTGCAATATTTTGAAACAATATTGTACCCATTAAACAAATTGCAACATATGTAATTAAATACACATACGTTTATTGAATTTTTTGGTTCGTCCAATATAATCTACAGATATACTGAGAAATGAAGTGTGATGAGATATTTGAGAAACATAAGTTATTCAAGTATTATGTACTTACTTGTACAAGTGTTGCTATATTCAACATGACCACTTGCTGAAGTTTTCGTTTTTCCACGATTCTAATTTTAGCCTTATTGATATGTGAGAACCAGGAGCAAATCCTATCTCGCTAACATAACTTAGAAATATAATCAGGCAAAACTTCATCCGTATCAAACAACGTGACCATGCCTGTAGCCCAAACAAAATAACTTTATTTTATCTTTACTTGTTTTGTTTTTTTTACACAATCAATAACTTGAAATACAACAGCACAGCAAAGTTATGAAATTCGTAAATAAATGCCAGCCAAGTTAACAATTTTTCTGCTAGTTTACAACTTTTCCATTGTGTACTTTGATTGCTATACACTTGTATGACAAAATTTCACAAAGGTTCACCTAATATTGTCTGTAACCCGTTTTCTTTTCATATAGAACATGTATCAACCAATATATTTAGCTAAACTAATTGTGGACACTTTATATAGAAGAAAAAATATTAAACTGATAACAAACATAACCTCATGTTTTTCAAGATGTCAATTGAAGAAATTGCTTTGTAATCCAACTTCAGCTCGACTGTCACTGGTATCTGATTTTCTGAGGTTTGTCTGATACGGGACACATTGGGTCCTAATTATTGGGTGTTAAAAATTCCGCTTGGGGTTAAATAGAAATAAAAATAAGGGGTAGATAAAGTTGAGAAGAAAAGGAAAGATGAAGAATAATCTGTCTTCGTTATTTTAATGTTTGAACTTTTGGACCTAAAATAAGTAAAAGGTGATGTTTGACGAAAGTAATTAAACTGAAAACCACGTATTCACTTTAGGCCAGTTGTAGTATGTCTAAAAAGTTTCAAGTTGATCTTAAAATTTTGTATTTATGATTTTCAATAACTTTTTTTTTCCTCCTTACACAAGGTATGTGACAATGGGGGTGGACTTAGGGAATCTGAGCGCCCTCAGGACATTTCGTGTCCTTAGAGCCTTAAAAACAGTAGCAATTGTTCCAGGTAAAGATTTCTACTTATTCATTGTTCAGTTTATTAATCACTTGATGCACTTACTTAGTTTTTAATGCCATCCCATATTCACAACAATATAATTTGGGAAAACGAATGTCTGTCCTTCAGCGTTGCATTCAGCTGACTAATTTTTTTCTCATAGTCAGCTCTATGTAGCTCTGACCAGGGTATGGTCATTCGATCAGTTAAACATTTATGTCCCTGAACCTGAAAATATTAAAGATGTTGTTTACCAGGAAGTTTTATAAAGAACATTTCCAATATGAATTTAATATTCCTTAGTTTTAGACTGTGACTTGAAATATTACAACTCTATATATATTTCAATTTGGAAATCGGATTTCTATTCATCTATTGCATATGAATATAAAGATAAAGAAGAGAAAAAGAAATACGCAAAAAACACATATTTGCAGATGTAAAATACAAAAAGCGATTGTTATGGATGCATGTTAATTTATGTGTTGTTAAAATTTAATAAAACCTTTTTTTCTGAAAAAATTCAAGCCATACTTTTCATGTAATGCTGTAACATCAAAATGTTCTTTTAAAAACCAGTTTTCAGAGTACTGTGTTTGACTTTCTATATTAATGAAAATGTTACACTTTTATGTTTTAAAGAAAATGCACGAGCAATAAGCATGTTTTGAACATGTTTCTATTTGAGTTTCTTAAGGGTTTGCTGTGTAATTTTAAAACTTTGTTTACATATTCAAAATCTTGTTGGATTCTGAAAATTCTGTTAATAAGTACAAAAACATAAATGACTAATTTAAACATTTTAAGAATGGTTGAGTACTAACACTATCAACATTGTCGGAGACAGTTTTTAGTTTGAAAAGAAATTTGAGAAAGAGCATATTTTAATGGCCACGTACTCGATTTTGCATGGTTAGATAAGATTGCGAATTAAATTACTATGACTCTATATTTTGTCGAATTTCGACGTGTTTCACCAGCGTGTGTGTGTTTTAGTCAATAGTTTAAATTCAAACTTCGTGGAATTTTAGTTAACTTGATTCAGTTTAATAATAATAATAATCTTATACTTCAAAAGAAATTTCTTCTTAACGCTTTAGAATTTATGCAATTTTGGAGTAGGATTAAATGCCATAAACCTCTTTTAAGACCTATAAGTTATAGCAACATTTTGTGATAAAAATTACTTAAATATGAAATTTTGTTTCTGCCTTTTTTTTTCTGAAACATTACTTTTACACATATCTAATTTTAAATCCGTAATGGACAAACTAAGAAGAATATAAAAGAAATGTAGACAAAAGTGATTTTTATAACACAAATTAGGCCTGTAGTTTATGATGTTTCGCCAGCTTTCGGTGTTTAAAAATTGTATCTATAATATAACTACATGTATTAAGCTTTTTCTTGTTATTGTTTTAAGTATGATATTGTGATTATTTATAAGTAACAACATTGGTGATTGTTAATGGCGCGGTTTGGCTTAAAATATTTGTGGCCTTTTAGTCATCTATGATAACAATAAAAGAGCGCCTCTCTCTCTCCGTGACCGCCATAGCTCAAAGAGGAAATAACCTAGATACCTGAAACTTTGCACGCATACTAAGAGTATTTTGAGGGTGTGCACCTGGCTAATATTTTTTCTATAATGATAAAAGGGCCTGCCTGTGTGTGTGTGCGCGTGTTTGTCAAGCCAATTATATTTTTAGGTCATCATTTTGGTGGTTTGCCCTCGATTTTCATCAACTTGGCTGCATTACTACCATACTCCTTAGGTCTTCACATGATGTGTCCATACCATTTCAGGTGGTTTCCTTTCATATTTTTTGATATGGCTGTCATACCTATGCTTTTTCGGATGTATAGATTGTGGATTCAGTCTTTTCTGGTAACACCACATATCTACTGCAACATATTCATCTCTTTCATATGTAACGTTTGTACATTTCCTTTCCGCATTGGCCAACATTCACTCCCATTCATTATGACTACTCAGGCCATTATTTTGTATATCATTCCTTTCAATTTCACAGACATCTTTTGTTCACATATGACTCCAGATATCTCACGCCATTTTAGCCGTCCTCTTGTTATCCTGGTTTCGTTGACTTCCTAAATGTTTCCATTGCTCTGAATTATAGATCGTAGATATTAAAGTTTTTGTGATCATGTTACAGGTTCTCCAAGAATATTAATTTCACCGTTTTATGCATCATGGTAAAAACTACATTCCATATATTCTATTTTGCCATACTTAACTTGAAACTTCCTCTAACTGTTCTTTCCATTAGTTTTTTTCTTCTATTTCTTTTTGGTTTTCACTGAATATAACCATATCATCCACATATATCATGGTCCATGATGCATGTTGCTGGATCTCTCTGTCGGTGTATCGAGCCCAACAGTGAATAAAACTCGAACCAAATTCTTGCAATTCAAAAGTATTTTGAGCCACCTGCAGTTGTTCAAACAATCACTAGCAGGCATTATACGTGTCAATACCGAGTCAGGTATACTTTTCTGAAATGCTCTTCTTTCTCAAACTACTCTAAGTCACTTACTTTGGTACTCTGTCTTATGCCTTTTCCAAATCCAAAAATGCTATATGAATTGTCTTCCTCTTTCTCGGCTTTTCTCAATCAGAATCCTTAGGGCAAATATAGCATCCATTGTTAAGCATCCCTTATAAATCCAAACTGATTCTATAAGAATGATTGTTTGTTTTGTTTTGAATTTCGCGCAAAGCTACATGAGGGCTATCTGCGCTAGCCTTCCCCAATTTAGCAGTGTAAGACTAGAGGGAAGGCAGCTAGTTATCACCACCCACCGTCAATACTTGGGCTACTCTTTTACCAACGAATAGTGGGATTGACCGTCATTTATAGCGCCCCCACGGCTGAAAGGGCGAGCATGTTTAGTGTGACAGGGATTCGAGCCAGCGACCCTCAGATTGCAAATCAAGCGCCCTAACCACTTGGCCATGCCGGGCCTCTGTAAGACTGAGCTTTCTTGTTGGATTTCTTTTTATCTATTACCCTTTCTCATAATTTTATAATATGACTCATCAAATTTATTCCTAGAAAATTCACATTTGGTTTGATATCGTCCTTTCTCTTGTAAATGGGTACAATCGTACTTTTCCTCCATGTACATGAACATTCAATCAGTTGTCAATATGAGATTAAATAAATGTATCAGTAATTTAACTCCTTTGACTGAATGTCCTTCATATCTCGATTGGGAATCCGTCTGGACAAACTCCTCTTTTAATTTTTTCTAGTATTGTTTTATTTCCCTGTCAGAGATTTGCTGTGCAAATTTCAAATTTTTGTGTCCACGAGATCATAGCTGCTTCAGATATCTTTAATTGAGTAATTGGCTGAAATATTTACACCATCTCTTTTTTGATCTGCTCTGTATCACATGTTGGTTGTCTGTTTAAGTCCTTGATGAATTTCATTTTAGTAATACCTTTCACTAGCTCGTGGATCATCATCTGTCCTTCTTTGGTTTTAAGTTTATTATAGATCTTCTTTTTCGTTTGAGACTTTTCCTGATACTTACCTCCTTTTACACTTCCATATTTGCCACCAGATCTTCGGCACTTTCGAGTTTTGCCTTTTTTGCATAATTTTTCCCCTTAAATACACTATGGACACTTGTCACTCCATCACTACGTTTTATTATCAATAGGTACTTCTCTTTGTTATTTGTGAAAAATGTAGTTATGATGGAAAATTAATATGCTATCACTACGTTCAGAATCATTTCACCTTTTACATTAATCACCCCATGTCCATGTTTTCCATGCACTATTTCCAATCCTTCACTCTGGTGATCAATATGGCGATTTAGGTCACTATCATTTATTGTTGTCTCTCCATTTTCTATGTTTTAAAGGATTTCCTCCAATTTCTCCAAAAATTGTCTCCCTCCATCATCACATCCAGCTTGTGATGCATAAGTGCTCACTATTGTAATATACTCCATACCTAGGGAAAATCTCACGGAAATGAACCTGTCATTCATATAATTGACCTCAATGATGCTATTTTTAACTCTTTACACATTATAATGTCCACTCCATTATTTCATGATATCCTTCCATTTAAGCTCATCCATTATCCCCAATTACTACTATAGATATCCCAAAGGGGTTTCACACCCGAAAAAACTCCTTTAGGACACCCGCTTGTGGTATTTGAACATATATGTCAGTATCATGAAGGGGCCAAAAATATAAAATACGGTGACAGATTCGAGTTCAGCGATCCTGCAAACCTACTCCTAGATCGTCATCGAGCCTGGGTGACTTTCTGAGCGCGTTTGATCCCCTCCTTTTGTAGAGTACTATGCTCTATAGATAAGGATGTCCTCTCTCCCTAGCCATATCGAGGGGGGCTGTCAAGTTTGGTCCTGCTGGCTCCAACGGGAGGAGTTCGCGCACAATCTAACAAACTGTCACGCTACGTCTTAATATAGGATGGTGAAACATGGAAACAGATAGGTATTGCAGCTATGGGCACTATCTTTGCCCTTAATCTTGCAAATCTCTTTGTTTTAAGGAAAAACTGATTAAAACTCTGTCGTGAGCAAGTTAAGCTTGTGTGCTACAAAAGGTGATATTTTTATGGTATTTAATAATGTTGAAGCTGTCGATAATTAAATTTGTTGATGAGGAACCCACATTGAGTGAATAATGTTTGAAGATGGTTTAAATAGTTACTGAAGAAAACTTTATAAAAGGTTTAACATAGTAGCAAGTATACAATGTTTATTTTAGATGTTCCTGTTTAAATTGCCAAAATAAAATGAACACTAAAAGTTTGTCATAAGTATACTTACGCTGGTTTGTATTCACAATTTGGAAGTTTTATCTCTATTAAATTCCAAGAAAACATTATCAAAACTTTAACATAAAAGCTATTCAGAGATCAGGAAGAAGAAACTTTTCTTTTTTAATTCTTTTAATAACGAAACTTAGAAAATTAAATAAGTGTTTCGAATGGACAATTCTAGTTTAATCTGATAAGCTCAATACTCAATCGAAGGGAATGTACAACTTTCCGAAGGAAGTTATACACTATATAAGCACTACTATTATCTTTGATCACCAAGAAGAAAATTATTAAACAATTATACTTCCTATTTTCTGTGGAATGTATCTTCAAAACTGCAGAAATAAGGTCAAAATAGTTTTTCAATACAAAAATTAAATAACCCACTTATCAAGTATGAGTTCAAGTGCTCGAGATATAACCAGGGGTGTATTTTTCTACGACTATAAAGTTATGTTGTCCAATAAGTAAAAACTATGATGTTAAGAATATTTATCCTACTTAACAATTTCAGATAATTTAAATGTGTATAACTATACTCCCCAAGAAGTGCTGTTAATCCCCCTCCCTTTTCTGTTGGCTAAAAATAATTTAATTCTGTTTAGAAAGGTATCTCTCAGTTTTTCCTAATTATACTACTACTTAATGGAAAGCAGGTAGAATAGATAATTTCTCTTAATTGGAACATTCAAAAGGCTTTACATGAAATTTTAGATTGGTGTTATAAGTTGGGTTGCAAATTTTTAGTTCTAAAACGTATTCTACTCTCTTTAGTAAGGATAAGCTACAAAAGGTTGATTTTGACTTTCTATGAGCAGAAAGTTCAGAGAAAATTATTATTAGTGTTAATTATTTAGGTATGTTATTTGATTACCGTCTTTCATGAAAATATCACATTCGGAAGTTTTATAATAATTGTCTTAAGATAATTAATTTATTGAAATGTCTTGCTAACTTTAATTCAAAAGCCAATAAAGAAGCTTGGATATTTGCAAATGGAGCACTTATTAGATCTTGATGATTATAAGTGTAAAATTCATGACTAAGTGTCGACATAAGTTAAAGCTAAGTTAAGCTCTAATCAGAATCAATCTCCGCATATGTCTCGGGGCTTTATTATTCACTATTGATTCAATTCTTTAAGTTGGCCTATTTTAAAACGTAAATTTCTCCAGACAAAAGTTGCAGTAAGGATTACGTCATATATTGGTTATCAAGCCCCTAATTATATGGAAAATTTCTTGGCATTCCGATTAAGGTAACTTTGTGAGGAATAATGCACCTTTTATTTTCATAAGGTCAGTTAACTTCTAGATAAACTTGAAGTGGCCAAAAAATTATAATTGCATATCCAATCCTTTTCTGAAAAAACCCTATCCCATAGAGTAATATTTGGGAAGGACTTTTCTTAAGTCATTCTTTAAACAGTAGAGACATATATATGTGGATTGTGTTTTTTAAAGACCTGAGTGTTCTGTAATCTTTGTAGATACTTCTGCTACCGTATCTTCTCAACCCACAAGCAAAATTGACACTAATAAACCAAACAACAACGTAACATTACACTTCAGTTTACAATCCATCTCTGAAATAATTTAAAAAATAACTCACACTTGGACAAAACTTCTCATTAAACATAAAATTCTAGTCGACTTCAAATTCACTATAAAACTCTGCACTAAATACAAATCATTACTAAAGAAATGAAATAGAACCACACAATACCAACGTCATTTATAAAACATCTGTCCAGAATTCTACATCGTATAAACCAGAAGAAAATTGGAAACCAGATTCACGGAACATAATGAGAAACCCTTCCATTCTTACCATCTTTGCAACGAAAAGAAAAAACAACAACTGAATATCTTTTCAAAACACTGTTATTTCAAACAAGGAACCAAACATCAACAAAAGCAAAATAAAAAAAGTAATCTTATGAACAAAACAGACCTACTCTAAACCAACACCTCGAAGAACCAAGATATCTTTACTAAGCTGTTAGGCAATCTCTTTATATGTTCAGGTGTCTATGTAGACTACTTGAAGTACCTGATGACGACAAAAGCTTTTCGAAACGTTGTATAGTTGTTGGTTGTTTTCTTCATTAACCATTCAAGCCGTCTCAAAAATGGGTTTCTCATAATCAAATTTAAATTCTTAGTACTTTATGGAAAGCGACTTTGATTGATATTTAATTTTTTGGGGGCTGTCATTGCATTTTTATGTACAACAATAATTAGGGATATTCTGTTTTCTGCATATACATATTATGATGTATTTATACACTTACATTTTGGAATAACAATTTGGATTCTCTACAGTGTATTGTGCGTTTTTTAGTACTTTTCTTGTGTTATGGTTTCTGTGGTGCGAAATCACCCCGTAGTGTTATTCATCCTAAATTCAAAACCAAACAGTAGCATTAGCCATTACCAACCACTGTTTGAAAATGTCATAATGTATTCATTCACATGAGTCTTTTCCCTTACTTGCTACGACCTTATGAGCACATGTAGGATTCTAACAGCATGCTCTAATTTCTTTCACTAAATATTAAAAACCTTCTTTAGTCAGAAAATATATCAGTTTCATCTTCTTTAATGCTCTACTTATGACATGAGTGACTTATAAATCTGGAAAAACGAAATAAACTCATAAGTTTAGTTATGGCCTTAGCACAACACCATAGGCAACTAATTGGTGTAGTGTCGCATGGTCTTAGTCGTCGAGCGTGGGTGGAACGACACTGCCGATGAGGTGTTTTTGAGTGTGATAATGGTTATAAATCACTAATCAAGCCTTTTAAAATTATTTTTCTTGTTGTTTTTTTCTACATTTTTTACATTCGCTCAAAACTATTTATTATTGATTTAGAAAATATAAGGCTTATGTCTTGAACTAACAAAACTAATTTGAAATTTTAGAAAGAGTAATTTTATATCAATAAATGTAAATCTACTTCTAATAAAGTTCCATTGCAAACTTCCTTATCTACAAATAATGGACTGTATAGTATTTAAAGCTATATGTAAGCATAAACGTTTGAGAGTAAAGATGAAGGAAAATGAAATAACTAACCTAAGTAATATAAAATTTTAGACTTTTGAATATTTTACAATTTTAAGACTACAAAAAAGACTGAAAATTAAACTGTGAAGTTAATGATATATAAGTATCCATAATCAACTAATTGTATTTTTTGTAATTACATATGTAGTAATTATTTGTTTGTAGAATAAGTTTAACTAATTGAACATGTAATCAGAATACATAAGAAAATCTGTTGATATTTTTATTCACTTAAATAGTGGTAGTATATACAGTATTTGTAATACAATTAGTATTTTTATTGAAGATGTTAGGTGGATTTACTTAATTTTTATGTAATTGATTGACCATAATTTAATCATTTTATTTCCTAGGTCTAAAGACCATTGTTGGTGCAGTGATAGAGTCAGTGAAAAACCTCAAGGATGTCATCATTCTAACAGTCTTCTCATTATCTATTTTTGCCTTATTGGGTTTACAAATATATATGGGTGTACTAACTCAAAAGTGTGTTGAAATTCCACCTGCAAACCTATCTCATGCAGAATATGTAAAATTTGTAAATAATGAAAGTAAGAATGAATTTCATGTTTTATATATGACAATTACTGATATAACTTCAGTGCTTTATAAATCATGTATTATGCATATTACATTGTTTGACAATTACTAGTTTTAAGTTTAGTGCTTTATAAATTGTGTATCACGCATACAGCATGTGTCTATTGTTTCGTATTAGAATTTCAAATGGTCTGAAATTGAGTTAATTGATAAATTTAAATTTAGTAGTTAAATTGTACTTTGGATTTAGTAGTTAAATAAGAGCCGATATATAGTTAGTTTATAATATTTGCCAACAAGACTGAAACACACAGTTTTCTTTTTTAACACAAACACGTTTTAATTTATACTCAACAATACAATAACATATATTACAAACAATGATTTAAAAACAAAAGTTTCACAAACTTACAAACAATATAAATTCTTCTTTTTAATATGGAACTTTTTCAATATCTTATCGAGAGTTCACGATGAGCAAGTTGATTACGAGTTCACGGAGATATATTTCATTTAACGGGAAGCTAGCTAGCTTTGTCCTTCGTTATTTATCGGCCACACTCACCGGGTTTTCCACCTTGACGTTATGTAATGTTTTCGTAAAAATACTATTACGCCTCTGGTCGTTTGTTAATTTCCCGTATAATTTCTTTCGGATGAAATTTTAGCGAGACAAGTCCTTTCTTAAATAAAACTAGTTTATTCTTTCTCAATTCAACTTTTTAATACATTTAATTTCCACAGTCACTTTAAACACACGCTATAATTCACAATGATTCACGCACTTACTTACGGTCTCTATCGCGCTTGACTCAATTGTCCGTCTTTATCTCTGCCTGTCTGCAATTCAATTCCGATTAATTTGTCTCACGTTATCCAATCTCACTTATATACAGGAATAGAGGGCGCCTAGCACATACTGGATTATTCGTGATGTTCCCCGATCCTTCTATAATATCATGACGTGTTACCAGGTCACGTGACTACCGCTGTCGTAACAATACTAATGTCCGATGAGAATTCACTGAAGTTAACTAACTTTAAGTTGTTCTAACTTTATAAAGGTTCCTGGTCAAATATCTGAAGTTTCCCGATTGGTAAGCGTTATAACAATCACAGTTATAGCTTCCGAAGTTTTATAGCACACTGATTATAGCGAACTAGTAACAGACACTCTCTTTGGCGCGTCGCGTTGATTATATATATATAGCCGTGGGGAGGTTTTCTAGAAAATTCAGATTATGTAACAATACAATTTAAGTGTTTAAGTACACACATATATTGTTGATTCTTACTATCAAGAATATTCTACAACTCTGGAGAATAGGCGGAAGTTTTGCAATGCATATTTAACAGTATAAGCTACGTATGTTTCTAAATATAAATTTAATCTAAATAAACGTTGATATTCAAATAAATATATAATACAAATTCGTTACACTATTCAGTTTAATGGATAGGAAAACTAAACCTTTTGGTATTCCTTCTATTAAATGACAAAATGTATGAAGTCTAATGCATAAACTGCAATGGAAATTGATAAGAATTTAATACTTTTCATTTTGTAAAAGAAAGTTACCTTAGGTAATAATGCATACATTAGTTTTGTTTTGCATCTGGTGAGCTAGAACAGATTATATTTGTTATATTAGATGTTGTGCACTTTGTTTTAAACTAACTTACAGTTTTCATGTAAAGTAATCATATACTTAATTTTTAAGGTTCTTAGCAGTATAACTTCATTTTGAGTATACATGAGTTAATACCAGATTAGTAAATTATAAAGTGCTGGAACATTGATAATATTCTTTCTAAACAAGGTGTATCTTCTATTAAGGTTCTTATCTGATTTGAAAAATTGTAATATTCTTGTACATCACTCTTTTATCTTTTTGTTTATAACTAATTCCAAGTTTATTTAGTGATATTGTTACGTCTCTGGTCGTTTGTTAATTTCCCATATAATTTCTTTCGGATGAAACTTTAGTGATACAAGTCCTTTCTTAAATGAAACTAGTTTATTCTTTCTCATTACAACTTTGCAATACACTTAATTTACACAGTCACTTTAACGTGAACACACACTATAATTCACAACGATTCACGCACTTTACTTCAGTCACTACTGCACTTGACTCAATTGTCCATCTCTATCTCTGCCCGTTTGCAATTATCCATCCCGTCACTTCTTCCCAGTCTTATATATACAATATAGGGCATCTGGCAAACACTCGAGCCTTAAGGAATCTTCGAGATACTCATTACGTGTTACCAGTATCACGTGACTTCTGCTGTCGTAGCACAACCCCTTCCTTAGTATTGTTCATCCCAAACAATAGCCACTTAAGTTAAATCAATAGATAATTAACAATAACTTAATTAAATGTACATAACTTACAAACACAAAATTAAAATTCAACAAAGTCTCTTAATATTACGGGATGTATCTTCTTCCATACTGGCTTTTGCTTCACGTGAGGTTCATCTGCTCCATCAGGAATTGTCCTATTATTGGTAATAGTCACACCAGAGGTAGTAACTTCATGAAGGGCTTCACTGGTCCTTTCTCAAAACCCAGTAGAGTTTCTTCTTCCACAGTGGCCTTTCCAGGTGACACGTCTTCAGTAGTGTCTTTTGTTCCATTGTTCACTTCGTCCCAACGGAAATGTCCTGGACAGTGATAACACCAAAGCCTGTTGGCATGCACCACATTTGGCTTACCTCGCTGACCACATTCTATTTGGAAAGTCACGTCTGAGAGACGACCCACTATGTCATATGGGCCTTCCCATGGAGATGACAACTTAGGAGACTTCCCTTTGGTCTTCCTGGGATTATACAACCACACCTTGTCTCCTGGTACAAAGCTGACTTCAGTAGATCTCTTATCATAACATAACTTCATCGAATCAGCAGACGTTTTCAAGTTTGAACGCACTTGATGGTGAATATTATCCATCTTTTTCGATAACACTTTCACGAATTCTGACACATTCTCAGGCAACTCTTCATAAGGTGGGCATCCTTTTAACAGATCCACTGACAACAGAAGTTCTCGACCAAACATCAACTTTGCT